GGAAAGAGTAGGCGCTACCGAAGGCAGTCCTGACAGAGCTCCCAATGTTGGGGTCTTTCTTCCCCCTCAGTCCCTCCCTGGAAATGTTGTGGGGGAGAGCTCCTCCGTACTGTGTCCCAGAGCTCCATCTCTCATCGTCCTGTGCCAGGGCACAGGATCCCCACCTTCTCTTGGGTCTTAGCCACACCATGGAAAGGCTAGTTCTCCAGCAGCCAGATACAGTGGGCTGTACAATTGCTTGGACCCACAAACACCTAAACTTTCGCTGAGTGGGGACAGTTGCCTTGAGTAATGGCAATCAGCGCATACACCCATTAAGCCACGCCCGACTTCTTGGCCCACTGTGATCCCAAACTCCTCCTGCTCCCCCACTGGGAGCCACGAAGGGACTGCAGTCAGCCTCGTGCTTCCTCCTCCTCCCCACTGGGTGGGGAGCAGGGCTCTCTGACTGCAGCATCCTTGCAAAGGTGGGAGGGGAAGGGAAGGAAACAACCTTCCAGTCTCTTGCAATCTCTTCTCCGTGGTGCCCAGCAACAGGACAAGAGGCAATGGGCAGAAACTGAACCTCAGGAAGTTCCATCTGAACCTGAGAAAAAACTTCTTGACTGTGAGGGTGACAGAGCATTGGCACAGGTTGCCCAGAGGGGTAGTGGAGTCTCCTTCGCCGGAGATATTCAAAACCCGTCTGGATGTGATCCTGGGCAATATGCTCTAGAGGCCCCTGCTGGAGCAGGGAGGTTGGACTAGGTGGTCTCCAGAGGTCCCTTCCAAGCTAAACCATTCTGTAACCCTCTTGCAATGTTTCCTTCACAGAACTTCTCCAAGTTGTCCCTGGGTCCTGGGAGGTTTCCGCCACCAGCATCAAACTGAACTGGACCTGCAGGTTCCCTGACGCCTGTCAGCACATGCGGGCCACGTGCCAGCTTGTCGGGCCTGCCTTCCCTACCTGTGAGGCTGAGGATGTCAGGGGAGAGAAGCTGCTACGGGGCCAGAAGGGAACGTTTACCTGCGCCCCTCTGCAGCCCTTCACAGTCTACAGCATCACCATCTCCTTGCCCCCCAGCACAGTCCTGTTCACATGGCAATTCCAGACAGAGGAAATGGGTATGTGTCCATGGGCGAGTGCATCAAGGTCAGCACAGCGCTGAGCTGCACCACAAGCGGGGGAGGTTGGGAAATGCACCTTTCCATCTGCAGCTCAAGGCAGGCATCTGCTTGCTGTGGTGATGGTCCTGAGAGTCAGGCCTGCGGGGATTTGGGGCAGGGGCTGTGCAGGGCCCTAGAGCAGAGCACATGCCCTCCTCACCCTCCGCGACGCACAAGCTGCAGCAGTGCAAGCTTTGCCCTGCTTGGGTGCAAAGCCTGCTTGGGGGGGAGGGGGGAGAAGGGGGTCAGTTTGCAGCCTGTCCCCTGGGCCAGCAGCTGCCTGCACCCTGCTCTGGGCTCAGACCCCTCCCTCGTCAAGCGCATAACTCCATCCTCCTGTGCTTCCAGTGCCGGACAAACCAGAGAATTTGTCACTGGATCCCAGCACCGGGTCACTCAGGTGGAACGCGCTGCCCTCCTGCAAAGGGGAGATCCTTGGATACCAGGTACCAGGTCACCCCAGACTCGCTGGGGTATCCCCTCCGCTTGGCAGGCACGTCCCTGCCTGGGCTGCTGTGGGCATGCCGGTGGGGAGAGCAGGGAAAGTAAAGCTGTCATGACCCGCAGTTTCGCCTCCGGTCTTGTGGAACTGAATTTCAGGCTGTAACAAGCACGAGCATTTTCTGACTCACTGCCTATGTTCCTCCCGCTCCGGTGCTGTCTGGGGAAAATGTTGGGTGCTCCCTGCCCCAGGGCTCTGCTTGTGGGGCATGTCACCACATTACCTGCAGTGCTGCAGTCGCGCACCCATCACCTGGCCTGGGGCTCATCAGAGGCACAGTCATCTAGCCGAATGAATGACCTTCATGTTGCGCTGATCCCACAAGCCTGGCGCTTCCTACGGGGGGCCCAGACAACCCCGCCCGGCCCTTCTCAGCATCTCTGCACCCCCGAGCTTTTCCTGCCCTTGCAGGGGTTGCAGCGTCCTGGTGCACCAGGGCCAGGTCCCCCTTGAGCATGGTGCTGCCAGGCTGTCGTGCCTCGAGGCGAGAGCTCAGTGCTGCTCCCCTCCAGCTCTCTGTCGTCCTCCAGCTGGGCATCACAGCCAGGAGCACGCGTGAGGGCAGCTTCCTGGAGATTGAGCGGCTGAGACTGAACAGCTCTGTCACCGAGTACAGGCTGCCAGACTACCGACCC